TAAGCAGTCTTCTGGGCTCATTTGGGCACATGGAACCACAGCTTTGGATAGTGTTTCTTAACCTTGGAAGTTTTAAGATACTGTATGTGGAATCAACTCCTAGAATTCCCCAGGAGAGTGGAAATCCACATATCTTGAAGCTGCCAAGATTGAGAAACCCTGGCCTAGAGAATGCCAGTTGTTCTTTCTTTCAATCTTTCTGCTCTTGCTCCTTCCCTAGACGATCTAACACAGATATATCTGAGGTCAGCTTTTAATGAGAATCTCCATGTCAGTGGCACTACCATTTGAAACCTTTTTGTCCTTCCTTTTAAGGTGTCAACGCAAACAATGGCGGGTAGACTTACCAGCCACTAGTGTAATCATCACTTTTCACAATGAGGCCCGATCAGCTCTCCTTCGAACTGTTGTCAGGTATTTCTGCAACACTTTCTTAAACCACAAAGGGCTACCACAAAGTGATAATACATAGTTTTTCTCAGTGTGTTGAACTAGATGATTATTCTTATCCAATTTCTTTTCTTTTTAGTGTTCTCAAAAAAAGCCCACCACATCTTATTAAGGAAATTATATTAGTAGATGACTACAGCAATGATTGTAAGTACTTTTACAAGGCTGTTATTTAGTGCAATACATGAGATGTTATGTTGTTCTGACAAAGGACTATGGGACTTGTAATCCGTACTGCTGGAGCTCTGAGTTGACTGGGCATACATTTATCTAGGGTCCTAGGTTGATTTTAGTTTCCAAAGCATTTATTTTCTTGCATCTTTAATGCCACAATCTGCCTTAAGTAGCTGTCTCTTCTACTTTTTCAAGATGAAATTGTCGTCATTCAGACTTGCAAAATAGCCTTATAGTGGAAATCTGAAGGAAATCAGATTAGCTTTAGTTCTGAAACTTAGGAACTTTCCAAGGAGGGAAGACTCTTTGTGACAGTTTCTTGGTTCAAGATAAAGAATTAACTGGTTTTCTTTTCTTTTTCTAGCTGAGGATGGTGCTTTATTAGGTAAAATTGAGAAAGTGAAGATACTTCGAAATGACCGCCGGGAAGGTGAGTGTCCTGTTAGGACTGGAAACAATATGAAGATTAAAGCTTTGGTTAAAAGAGTAATTTTCTCTTTCTGCACACATTGAATGTAGAAGAAAATAGATTGCACAATGGAGGCAAGGCATTTCATCTGATAGCTATTTTAAATTATGTTTTCCAGCTCACTTTTTTTTCCTTAATCAACATCTTCATGGAAGCCTTTCTTAAATCAACAGTTCCGAAGTGGAGATCTGATTTTTCTAATGACTTTCTTGTACTGCTCTAAGTTAAAGTGCCTGAAGATTGTTTCTGTTGAAGTCCTCCTAGGTACTTTATATGGGGAAGCTTCTGATTGGTTTACCAGTCTTTCTGTCAGATTGTTAGGTAGATTAATGTCAGAGGGAGAAAAATATATTAGGCAGTATAGTAAAAAATGCAGTTGATTGCAAAATGCAATCGAGCCAAGTATGTGTCCTTGATTTTTCAGGTTTGATGCGTTCTCGTGTTCGAGGGGCAGATGCAGCACAAGCAAAAGTTCTTACATTCTTGGATAGTCACTGTGAATGCAACGAGCACTGGCTGGAGCCTCTCCTGGAGAGAGTAGCTGAGGTTAGTTGCAAGAAATAATCTTAGTGGTCTCTTAAAATTGGCCTCTGGATTCTCTTTTGCATTGAAAAATACAGGTGGTCCATCATTTGCAGCCATTCATTTAGTGACCATTTGAAGTTACAACGGCGCTAAAAAAAAAAAAAACCGACTTACGAACATTTTTCACATTAACAACCATTGCAGCATCTCCATGATCAAAATTCAGGCGTTTGAAAACCGACTCATATTTGTGATGGTTGCAGTGGTTGCGTGTGATCCCTTTTTGTAACCTCCTGATGAGCAAAGTCAATGGGGAAGACAGTTAACAACCGTGCTACTAACTTAGCAACTGCAGTGATCCACTTAGCAACGTGTGGTGAGAAAGGGCGTAAAGTGAGGGCAGAACTCACTTAACAACTGTCTTGCTTAGCCACAGAAATTTTGGGCTCAATTCTGCTTATAAGCTGAGGACTACCTGAAGTAGTTTTCATTTAATTTTAAGCAACACTTTCATTTTATTTTTTTAAATAAAAAAAAAATCAGTGTGTATCGACTGAATTCTAAATGAAAGAAGTGGTACTGAAACATAACAATTAATAAAGACCTAGCAATGGCTAAGAGCAAGAAAGTTGAAGAAAAAGACAGAGGGGCAAATTCTGGCCATACAAGACCAAGCCTTAAGAACAAATGCATACAAAGTCAAACAGATAGTAAATGCTGAAGAAATCAGACCAAACCAGTCAGGCAGATACTGTGGGGCAGATACTATGGGAGCGAGGCTAATAACCATAACCTTGTGCTATCCAAGGCCTTTTCAAACCTATCCTTGTACAACTTATAACGTTTAATTTCCTTGAGAATTGAACTGAGTGAGCAAAATAACTCAGCAAGCCTACTGTACTTAATTTCTAGCAAACAGCATGTTCTTAGAGCAGGAGGGTAGAATTTCTTTTTTCTTGAGGGTAGATGCTAGCCACTGTATATGTGGATAGCATTGGATTTAAAAGCTAACCTCCTAAAGAAGATCCGTGTTTTTGCATGGTTTTTATTTAATATTCAAAACAACGCAAGAGCCTATTGTTCATTAACTTCTGTTTTGAAACGTATTTCAGGATAAGACCCGCGTTGTATCCCCTATAATTGATGTAATTAATATGGACAATTTCCAGTATGTGGGGGCCTCGGCTGATTTAAAAGGCGGTAAGTATTTTATTGGAATATGAAATCTTTCCAGGGTCTCTAAATGTGTTGCAATAATCCAGATCCTAGTTTGAGAAACGTATACCTTTCTACCTCCTGCGTAAATAAATGGAGTAAAAGGTCAGAGCATGCTGCCAGCCTTTAGAGCAATGATCTTGTTCATGTTTTTAGTCAGTGTATGCAATAGAAATCTTGCAGGGGAATAAAGCCTTTCTTGCTAAAAGGCCCAGTTCTAAGGGATGGGAAACATTTCTGCCTAAGGTCTTGAAGAGATGCTGTAGAAAATACATACAAATATCCTGACACACGACAGAACAACTTTCTGTGTTTTTATAGTTCCATGGGCTCAGACGTGGGATCTAAGAGCTCTGAACCTGTGAGGTTCGTGTCTCAGCTTTGTCAAGGAGACTTGGGAAATTGAAATAAAACATATTGTTTTCCTTTCCTTCCTTTCTAAAACATTTCTATATATTCCAGGAAAGGTGGTGAAAATGATAAAAATAATTCCCTCCTAAGTGATGTACGTATTCAGTATCTGGTATTGAATTTACACTCGGGACCTGAAAGTCTGGTATTTCTCCATAACTATATATCCAGACTGGAATGAAATCGAATTCTAGGATAAGCTTAGCAAATGACTATCGGTTATTTATTCTTGGATTAGAATTCATTCAGTTCAGATAGCAGCACCAAACTGACCTCAAGAAAAGTTAATCAGGATCAGAACTGATTAGCATTTGGAGTGGGTGAAACTACCAGGGCTATTCTAGGGCTATCAGCTAAACCAGTGATTCTCAGCTTTAAACACTTGAATATGTGTGGACTTCAA